GCCGCCTGCGGGATGCGGCCGTGATGCGGCCCGGCTTCCTGAGTTCAGCCGAGGAGGAGACGCTGAGCCGCGAGCTGGAGCCCGAGCTGCGCCGCCGCCGCTACGAATACGACCATTGGGACGCTGTGAGGCGCGCGGGGCGGGGTCGCGTCGGGGCGGGGCCTGGGACTTGGGGGGCGGGATCAAGGGAGTCGAGCGCTGGGTGGGGGCCGCGCTGGGGGCGGTAGTTGGGCGTGGTGGGCGTGGTCTGGGGTATTGAGGGCGGGGTCAAGGGAGTCGAGCTCTGGACGGGGCGGGGCCCCGCTGGGGACTGTACGGTGGAGGGGCCTGATGTATTATGGGGCGGGGTCAGTATTTCAAACGTTGGATGGGGCGGGGCTACGCTGGGGGCTGTACCTGGGCGTGGTCTCAGGCATTGGGGGCAGGGTCAGGGGAGTCGAGCGCTAGAGTGAGGCTATGCTGGAGGCGGTACCTCGAACGTGGTGGGGGCGGGGCCTGATGTATTATGGGGTGGGGTCAGTGGCTTCGAACGCTGGATGGGGTGAGGCTAGGCTGGGGGCGGTACCGAGAATTGGTGTGCAGGGGCGGGGCCTGGAACCTGGGCAGTGGGAGGGGGAGGACCTGGGGAATGGGGACATTGCGAGTAGGGAGAACACTTTGGTGATGATGGCAGGGCCATACCTGGAGACAGGGTATGGAACTCAGGGATATTTGGGACCAAGATTAGGGGCAGACACAGGTGTGGAGGGAGCTGAGGGGAGTCAGCGGTTGGGGGCAGGGACAGGGGACTTGGGGGGGGATCAAGTTGTGGACGGAGACAGGTGGAATTGAATAGCTGGAGCCTGGAACCAGGAATTGGAGCCTGAAGTTGAGTATAGAGGACTGAGATCAGACCTAGGTGGGGACTGGGGTTGGGATCCCGGTATGGATTTGAGACCTAGACAGGGCTATGATTTTGGCAGGGGATAGATTAGCGGCAGGAATGTGAGTCAGGGATCATGCTGGGAGAAAACTGTTGCCCTGTACTCTGCCCCTCCTAGCCTCAGTTTCCCTGATTCCCCTCGGTGCTCCCTAGCTTGACCGAGCTCTCTGTGCAGGCCATCCACGGCTTCCGAGAGACAGAGAAGTCACGCTGGTCAGAAGCCAGCCGGGCCATCCTGCAGCGCGTGCAGGCAGCCGCCTTTGGCCCTGACCAGACGCTGCTCTCCCCAGTGCACGTGCTGGACCTAGAACCTCGGGGCTACATCAAGCCCCACGTGGACAGCATTAAGGTGGGCAGAGGCCAGCATCTTGTAGCTCCCAGCCAGAGTGGGCAGGCCAGGCCAGACCCTGACCCACTGCCATGCCTCCTCTCCAGTTCTGCGGAGCCACCATTGCTGGCCTGTCCCTCCTGTCTCCCAGCGTCATGAGGCTGGTGCACACCCAGCAGCCAGGGGAGTGGCTGGAACTCCTGCTGGAGCCAGGATCCCTCTACATCCTCAGGTATCCCCAAGCCGAGGAGCCCCCACCCCACCAGTAATGCGCCAGATGCCCATCAGTGCTTGAACACCTTTGGAAGGTGCAGGGGGCAACAGAGGAACTGGAACCCAGCTCTGCTTGGAACAGGGCCTGCCCTCACCCCATCCAGTCACAGCCTGTTTTCTCTTGCAGGGGTTCGGCCCGTTATGACTTCTCCCATGAGATCCTTCGGGACGAAGAGTCTTTTTTTGGAGAGCGACGGATTCCCCGGGGTCGACGCATCTCTGTGATCTGCCGCTCCCTCCCTGAGGGGATAGGGTCAGGGGAGCCTGGACAGCCACCCCCAGCCTGCTGAGCCCCAGGCCCATCCCCCAGCTTCTTACAGACCCCGGATTTGTGAATACAGTCAGAATGGACAATCCTGGTGGCAGTCAAGGCCAGGAAAGCAGTTTCCTTTATTGTGATCATTGCTGGAGGCCTCAGCCCACCTCCCCTTCTCATTTTCTCAGCACCCAGGTCTCTAATAAATAAGACAGCTGAGCTCCTCCAGCGCTACAGCTCCGGGGCACCCTCAGCCGCCACAGCCGCAGGCAGCCGCTGAGAGCTGGGGCAGCCGCTGCCAGCGGTGGTGGTCATCGAGGAAGGCCACGTCGGCATAGCGGGTGGGCTGGCAACAGGGCCTGCCGTGGGCTCGGCCCTGACCCCGCAGCCAGGCCAGTGTCAGGCCGTGCTGGGTACGGGCTCCACGGGGACAGCTGCCAGCGCAGTAGCGAAAGATGACCTTTTCCTCCGAGGCATAGCCCAGGCCCAGCTCTGCCACAGGCAGGGTAAGGCTCCACAGCTGGCATGGGCTGGCCAGGGCTCGGCGCAGGCGGGCTCGGGGGTGGTGGGCACCTGGGGGAGAGAAGGGGCACTGACAACAGGTGGGATCTGGGCAGGGAGGAGTTGGGAACTCACACGGTGGCCCTGGGTATCCTTACCCAGCTGTGTCCTCCAGGTCCCTCTGGTCTCTGTTGCCTGCTCAGATGAGTAGTCTCCCTCTGCCACTGGAGCCCCCTGAGCAACAGGGCCCCAGTGCAGGCCCAGCGGCAGCAACAGGAGCAGCAGAGAGCTGAGCAGGACTCTCCCTGCAGCCATTGCCATGGGCAGGTCCTTAGAGTGGGGGAGCCCCATGTCTGCATTTATCCCCACCTGGGCTGGGTAACTAACCTCTTCACTGCTGGCGGCCATGGCCAGGAGGAGGCCCATGCCCCACGCCAGCGTGTCTCCCATGTCCGCTGGTCTAGGCCTCTGGCTCCTTCTGCCCAACACCTGTCCTTCTAAGAGTTAAGGACCCACCCCCCATCTCATCCCACCCCAACATTCCACAGACACATTTCCGACGCCCCTAAGCCCCCTGATTTACGAGTGCTGTGCCGGCAGCCAGGGCCAAGCCCAGAGTGGGCAACTGATGTCCCCACCCCGCCTGCTGTCTGGAGGGGGAGGCAGGGGGCATTGTGTTTCCCCTGGTGGGATCCCTCCCCACCAAGGCAGGGTGCTGTGGCTCAGGAGCCCCAATGTCATGTGTCAGGTGGGGCAGGGGTGGCTTGGCAGGTGGGTGAGGCGATGGGGAATCTGTCATGGCTCCTGCCAGAAGGATTAAAACATCATGCCTTTGTCTCTGGGCCTGGCTGAGACAACATCAAAACAGGAAAAGGGAGAGGCCTGGGGACAGCCAAAGGCTGGGACCCAAAGGGGGCAGGGACTCCCAAAGGCTGGAGGGCCAGCCTGAGAACTCAAGACTTCAGCCCCATCTTGGCATCCAAGAGCATCAGGGCTTGGGGGAGGTTCAGACCTTTTGGGTCCCAGTAACTACCAGCATGACATGGGTTCTGGTAGCTTCGACCAGTCCCATGTGACCCCAGGGAAGTGAGCATTTAGTGTTTACTGCTGTGCCCAGCACTGAAGAGCTTCCAAGAGCTTGAGACAAAGGAAATACAAATAGCTTATGTGCTATTTATTTGTTTAAAGAGAAGTTTGATCCCACACAGAGCTGTGACAGTGTTGAGGGTGGGAAATCCTATTATGGTAATTGAAAGATGGTACCTTCAAGAGGTGATTAGACTGTGAGGACCATGCCCTAGGGAATGGATTGATCTATTTATGGAGTAATAAGTTGATAGTTTAATGAGTGGTAACAGGTGTGGTTCTGATGGCTTCATGAGGACAGCGAGTGAGCATGTTAGCTCTCTTGCTCAGCCCTGTCGCCATGCGATACCCTGCATCCCTGTGGAGAGTCACCATCATTTCTGGAGGGCCTCACCAGATGTGTTCCCTGGACTTTGGACTTCTCAGCCTCTGAAACTGTTAGAAATAAATTCTATTTCTTTATAAATTACTCAGTTTCAGGTATTCCATTATAAGCAATAGAAATGAACTGACACACCAGGATTCCCACTAATAAAGAGCCCCCTGGCTGATGATGGGTATCCCATACAAACTTATGAAACAAGAAAATAACCTATCAGGAAGGGGAGTCAGAAGATACAACAGAATGCTCGTGAACTTCAGAATCTAGATGTGTCTGACAGACAATAAGGATGCTAAAAAAAAAATGAAAGGAGGGATCAAAAATTTAAGGAACAAAACGCTATCCAAACAGAGCAGTTGATTTGAAAAAGAAACAAAGATAAGTTTGAAAAATTGAAAATGGAGTCACAAGCGCCGAGCCCGTGGCGCACTCCTGAGAATGCGGCGCTGGGAGTGCAGCAGCGCTCCCGCCGCGGGTTCGGATCCTATATAGGGATGACCGGTGCGCTCACAGCGCTCACTAGCTGAGCACGGTGCGGCCAGTCTCAAAAAGGAAAAAAAAAAAAAAAAAAAAAGAAAAAGAAAATGGAGTCACTGAAACCATTTACTGGGTTACAAGGTAAATAAGCAAATGCTAAAGAGAGAATTAGTGAAGGGGAAGGCAGAGCTGCAGTTACCCAGTGGTTGGGCTCACCAATTAGCTCAGCTGGGTAGAGCCTAGTGATAACACCACCAAGGTCAACGGTTCGGATCCCCGCACCAGAGAGCCACCAAAAAGAAAAAAAGGCTACCCAGTGGCAGCACAGAGGCACGCTCAGTGTGCAGGGATGAGCCGTGAGGAGAATGAGATGATCTAACAGGCGTCTAAAGGTTCCAGAAGGAGGAGCTGGGGAGAAGCAAATGGAGGAGGGAACTGCTCAGGCTCTTCCAGAATTGGTAGCACCAAGGTCCCAGGCTCAGGGAGCAGAACCACAGATAGGCAGTGGACGCGCACGCGGGTTCGGTGAGCACGCGGAACGTGGCAGTCTGAGAAGTTCTGGAGAGCAGAGCCTATTTATTGGGAGGGCAGTGGCAGCAGGCTGTCACTCCTTCAGGGAGAAGTGCATCTTGTCGTTGATCATCTTGCGCTCCGGGTTGAGGCGCTTGAGGATCTGCGCCAGCACATTCACTGTCTGCTCGCTGCTCAGCCCCGTCTTCTTGGTCTGGAACTTTTTCAGCAGGTCCTTGGTGGTCATGGGCTTTCGCGTCAGGTAGCGGCGCACAGCGTCCTCAGTCACCTGCACGTCACTGCGGGGCAGAGGGTGGGGGAGGCAGCCATCAGCGAGTCTCCCCTGCTGCCCTCACTCTGGCCCTGCCATGCTCGCCAACTTACCCGCTGCTGGGCGTCGACTTCCCCGACGGCGGCTGGGGGGTCGACTTCCCGGACAGGCTCTGGGGCCCGGGATCCAGCCGTAAGCGCTTGGCGGCCGGCGGCTCGCTCGTCCGCTTCCCTGTTAGAGCAGAGTCAGGGCTGAGTCTTGGGGATGGGAGGCTGGACCCCTGGGCAGGACCCCCGGGCCTGGCAGCGCCAGGATTATGGGTCCAGGGGGCTCAGGGAGAGACGGGCATCCATCCCTGACTCTCCATCGCCGCTCTGGTGTCGGATCCGAGCACAGAGGCCAGGAGGCCGCGGCCGAGCAGCGGGACACCGGGTGCTCACCTTGCTCTAGTTTGGTGGCGGCAGCCCGCAGGGTGGAGGACGTGCTGCTGCTCTCGGCGCTGGGCGTGCCAGGGCGGCTGTTGCCCCGCGAGCTGCCTCCGGACGGCTTCCGCTCCCTCTTGGGGGGCGTCTTCTTCTTCTGCAGGTGTCCGAGTTGGGATTGGGGACATGAGTCTAGAAACAGAGGCCCCCGCCCCCACCCGCGGCCCCATCCGCCCCCGCCCGGCCTGCCTCACCGCCATGAAGAGGGCCGAGGAGGCCTCGCTGTCGATGTCGCTGTCCTCCGAGCTGTCAGACTCCTCGCTGCTGTCTGCAGGGCCAGAGGCTGGCAGTCAGGACCAGAGCGGCCCGCACACGCCTGCGCCCGCCCCCGGCTCCGCCGCACGAGGGAGGCCTGCGCGGGACGGGACGGGACGGCGGGGTTCCGGGACGCACCTCTCCGGCGCTTCTTCTCCTGAGGGGTGGGGGCCTTCTTCTCCTCCTCCTCCTCCTTCTCCTCCTCGGGGGGCTTCTCCTCCTCGCTCTCCTCGCTGCTCTCGCTCTGCTCATCCACCCCTGGGGAAGGCGAGGGACGGGGCGTGAGCAAGTGGGAGCCCGCCGGCCCTACCTCCCACCCCACCCCCCCGGCCGCTGCCCGCCCGGCCGCCGCCTACCCTTGGGCCCGTCCTCCTGCTGCGGGACCTTGGCCTTGCCCTCCGTCTCGTCCTGGGAACTGCTGTAAGACACAGTGGGCACAGAGTGGGCAACTGCGTCCGCAGGGCCAGGCCAGGGTCTCCCACCCGCCTCTGCCTGCCTCACCTGGAGCCGTCGGACATGTAGTCCACCTCCTGGCCCTCGAAGTCCCCGTCATCACTGTCCTCCAGGGCCTCGTCGTCCGAGCCCTTCTTCTTCTTCTTCTTCTTCCTGCCCGCCGTGGCTGGCGGAGCCTTCTTCTTGGCCTTGGGAGCTCTGCTGCCTGGGACGGGAAAGGAAGAGGAGGGGGAGGAGACGGTGGGCTCAGGCCACGTGGTCATTGTGCCTTTCTTTTCCGTTTTCGGTGGCCGGCCTGAGTGCGGATCCGAACCCTTGACCTCGGTGTTACAACGCCGCGCTCCACCCAGCTCACCGAGCGGCCTCCACCAGCCACCTTGATGCACTGAGACCCGGACACAGGTCAGCAGCCACGCCCAGCACCTGGCCTCACCCTCATCGCCGCTAGCATCGCTGTCGTCGGACGACATCTCCAGGTCGTCCTCCAGGTCGTGGATGCGCAGCTCGCTGGCCTTCTTGCGGCCGCGCTTCTCCTTCTCCTCCTCGTCCTCGTCCTGATCCTGGTCCTTGAGCCGCCGCTGCTGCATGATGCTGAAGTGGTTCAGCACCTTGTTCCTCCTGCGGGTCGGGCAGGGGGCGACGCGGGGGCTCAGGAGGCCGGGTTCTGGGGCCCTGCACCGCCACCGGGCGTGCCCCAGGGGGCCCCTGCAGATGCTACCGTACAGGCGACCTGACCCCAGGGACTCAACGCGGGGCATGAAACACCCTGAGATCACTGGGGAGAGGAGGCCCTTCCCAATTCCTTCTCTGAGAGTCTCTCATGGAGAAGGTGTCAACGTGGCATGTCTCTTGGGCTCAGGGCCCTTCTCAGGCAACAGAATCGGGTCACCATGTATTCATGTTGGTCTGTTTTTTTTTTTTTTTTGGCGGCTGGCCAGTACAGGGATCAGAACCCTTGACCTTGGCATTACAACACCGCGCTCTAACCAACTGAGCTAACCAGCCAGCTGTGGTCTTTTTTTTATCATAGCTTATAGGTCTGCCTTTTTTAATGATAAGGCACACTCACGTCTCCACTGCAACACTGGAATGATGTAACATTGTACCACTGGCCACGAAAGTTTCAAAAAATGGGACTGCATTTTTTTTTTTTTTTAAATAACTGGTAAGGGGATCTTAACCCTTGACTTGGTGTTGTCAGCACCACACTCACCCAGTGAGCCAACCGGCCATCCCTATATGGGATCCGAACCCGTGGCCTTGGTGTTATCAGCACCACACTCTCCCAAGTGAGCCACAGGCTGGCAAAATGGGACTGCGTTTAAGGAGAAGTGTTAGGATCACATCTAACAGCACATGCAAAACTCATGGGGGTTGTAAAAATGTATGGAATTCTGCTGCATAACTAGGAATGTACTTAATGCTACTGAACTGCACACTGAGAAATGGTGAAGATGGTAAATTTTACATGTTTTTTTCACCACAATGAAAACTTTTCCAAAATTACTTTTTTTTTGTTTTGTTTTGT